TTTTTTTTTTTTTTTTTTTTTTTTTTTTTTTTTTTTTTTTTTTTTTTTTTTTTTTTTTTTTTTTTTTTTTTTTTTTTTTTTTTTTTTTTTTTTTTTTTTTTTTTTTCCTGTTTGTCTCATGATTTATACTCGTTACACCCAATTAAACACACGAGGTGCGTTTATTTATTTATTTATTTATTTATTTTTTAATATGTGTACTTAATATGTCTGGTAGGTGCTGATCGACGTTCTTTTAAATAGAATCTTTCAAATTTTTTTTAAACAACGTTTATTCAAAAGAATGAAGTGGAGGCAAGGCGCTGGAAGCATTATATGCTCTCCACATTATATGCTCTCCATCTTTCAAATGCAGTAGTTGCGCAAATAGACGTGTTTATTAGGCCTACTCATTCCCTTTTCTAATACATGATAGTACCTATTGGTATATGTGCTTCCTAGTTCTCTTTAGAGAAACCCAAGAATCTCTTTTGTTTTTAGCAAAGATGGTATAACCTTTAATTGAACAAAAGTCTGTAAATGATTCGAAGATCGGTCTCAGATATCTTATAAGAGAACATTCAGGGCCTACGTTTTAGGCCCTTGATGTGTGAACGCTAATATAAACAAGAATAACATGTAATTTCAAGATGTATTTTTGTTTTAATTTTTTTAAAACGATTAGCGAGTAATCTTTCGGCCTTAAATTTAACAAGAAATTTTAAATTATTGCAAGATTTTAGTTATGCGTAGTTTTGTTTTATCCTGCTTTTTACCGACTTGAGCGCCATCTATTCTTTGGTGGTCATATATCAGTGACTCATGCGCAGATTGTACCTAGTCAGCTCAGGATTTCACTTCCTAAATAACAGGATTTTTTAACAACAAATACAACATGAGTCTTTTTGGAAGGTTGTTTGGTGGTAAAAAGGGAGAAAAAGCCCCCACACCACAGGAGGGCATACAGAGACTTCGAGAAATTGAAGAAATGTTGACGAAAAAACAGGAATATTTAGAGAAAAAGGTCGATCAGGAATTATCAATCGCTAAGAAAAATGGAACGAAAAACAAAAGGGGTATGATCTGTGGTATTTAGGTTTTATGTAATATCATTTACAACCATTAATGTTTATGGAACTAAGATTTGATGGACGAAAGGTTAACTAGTAGGTAGAAGTAGTTGTTATGTTTTAGGTTGTTGAATTTGGGCGTTTAGGCTGTTGTCGTATTGACATATTTGTATTGTAGGTATCGCTGTTTGAAAATAGTGATGTCGTCACGTCACGGTATGATGCCATTCTGGGCTATGTTGATGTTTGTCTTCTTACACCTCTCGTTGCTTGGGTGATACACTTGAATAGATCAGCTGCATACATTGTCAAAGAATCAGAAATACCTCTAGCACAAAAATTCATGTGTTGGCTTTCCTGTTTATAGCCTCAGAATTGTGCTAACACACGAAAGATATTAACCCATTACAGTGACGTCATATTTGCTCCGTAACACTAGTCCCGCGGCCATGCTGGAGGGAATGAACGACGGTGAGTAGTAGCGTTAATATAGGTGAACCAAATAAAATGAAATAAACTTCATATCGCGATCAGGTACACCAAAGGGATAAGGATATATACCAGCTGAAGATTCAGCTGATTAGCGGGATCGACCAATATGAACTCAGGAGAGTCTAAAAACGTGAAATCCTACCAAATGCTACTTATCCAACATCCTGTTGTCAGAAGATAGTTCAGTTATCTTGTACTTCATTTTTCTTGTTCATTGGGTAATAACAGTTATAGTTTGAGAGAGTTTAATGTGTAATCATAAGTTTAACCTTACATAGAAGCAACTTTTTTCATAAAGGATAGATATAAGGAGAAATTAGAGCTGATCATCAGGATAAACCCTTGTGGACTCAAGGAAGAATGTATGCAGGATTGTCTTATGACATGAAATATTGCTGTCAGTTATGACTTATCTCTACATCGTGAAGCTGTCAGAAATTATTTCAGCATTCTTGTACTTCATATTGGATCATTAGAAAGTACATGTACTAGTAACAAGACTGTTGTTTGAGAGAGTTTAATATTCACCATGAATGCAACCATTCATATAAGCAACATTGTTAGGATTTTTTTTTATTATNCGCAGACATATGTACACATCAAGCTTTCTTATTAGTTGTAACCCAGTCTGAGTCAGTGGCAAAAAAAAAAGAAATTTTAATCTTGGTGACCTTTTAGGTCTAGGAACATGCTGGCAAAATTTTAAGAAAAGTGACCAAGTAACTGATCAAATATACACAATGTTAATAGTGTCACTCTCGTAGGTTCAACATTTGGTAGGGAGCCAATGTTGATGTGACAGACCTGGTTACCTTTCTGATATTTTTATTACCTATCAAAAAAGTTTCTCAAATTATGCAGTTAACCAGCAAAGACAGGCCCGGGGGAAAAAGTACTGTTTATTTTTAATAAAAAATTGTCATGATATAAAACCATGTAGAATACTGTTGGTATTATAATGTGTACAGGGATGTTGATAAAGTTCACGATCTAATGGACGACATTGGTGAGCAGATGGATTTGGCTAATGAAATAAATGATGCTATAGCATCGCCCATTGGGTTTGGGCAAGACATTGATCAAGTAAGTGAGCTGGTAACTCAGGCCTACAATATAGACACAATTCACTTATTGGGTGCACTTTAACATATGATATACTAGTACTACTTAGCCAGTAAGTAACTTAGTAGAATATTGTATTTTGGTTTAATAGAAAGTGAATAACTAGACCTCGTTTAGGTCAGCTGTTTTCTTTGTTCATTTAACCAAAAAAAATGTTGATTGGCTCATTTGGCAGTCGTGTTAAAGTGTGCCCAGTTATTGTGGAAGCACTATATGTTCACCTCCCTTCCATTATTGCACCCCACTTTGTTTCCCTTTTCTATTTGATGAGAGATCATGTCAAAATACTGTATCTTAATGGATGGAGTTTCATCCCTTTAAACATTTTTGACATGAACTTTCTAACAAGTCTGAGAAAACATACATGACCTCCTTAGCCTCATGTCTGTGACATAGTCTTCAGCTGATGTTAAATTCTAAATCAATATGCACTGTCAATTCCAAAAGCTTAAATTGGGCAATCTTTCATTTATAAGTAAATTTAAAAGGGGAATAAAAAAACATCTTCAGCTATTATCTGCATGTTTTCTCAGCCTCTGCAGCCCTCAACCCTGGCACGCTGATTTGATCAAGTGATTGTGTTTTGATTAGTTGCTTTGCTCCCCAGGGACGTTGACAAGGTCCATGATTTGATGGATGAAGTGGCAGAGCAGCAAGACATAGCCAATGAAATTTCAGAAGCCATCTCAAATCCTGTTGGCTTTGGTACAGATGTTGATGAGGTAGGAGCAGAACTGAATGCATTGGCTTATTGGCTTTGTCTGAACAATACAGATGAAAATTTTAATCGTATCTTAATATATTGACAATTGAATTATATAAATGGGGTATGACATACTTTTAGATATAGAGCAGTGAACATGGTATGACATGTGCATTGTACATTCTCTTACTCTAAATTTCAAGAATTTATATTATCAAGATAAAAGAAATAAAAACAGTAATTTGGATTCAAGACTGACTCAGGTTTTTGAAAAATCATTCAGAGACTTAGTATTGAATGAGTGAAGTTTCCTCAATTAACATAAGGCTTGATGCAGGTCAATATCTGTGGAATGGACCAGTGATATAATGTTTCCAAATTTGGCATTATGTGATCCTGTATTGATTTTACATATCTGTCCAGTCATCAGCCCCCTTCATGTGGGCACAGATTGATCCCGCAGCTGCCAACTGGTGATAATTTGATTGGATGTAATTTGTTCCCTCGCTTGTCTCCTTCTGCAATTGTACTAAATAACCCAATAAACACCATTATTGTGTTATTTAATATCATGCTCTCAGTGGCCTTTAAACCCCCAATATTTGACTTTTTAAAGTAAAAACATGCTTAATGATCCACTTTCTTAAAAAAGCACTGGACAAAGCAATTAAAAAATACTTTCATTTCATAAATTGATGATGGCATTGTTATGAATACACCATCATTTTATTTCATTATCATGAAATGTTTAAACTACTTTTATGTTCATCTGGATATGATTTAAGATAGTTAAAATTTAAAATGACCCTAGACGTGGCAATATAATTTTATTAAATTAGTCCTAAAGTACATTTTACTAGTACATTAAAATGCCACTCTAGAGAGATAAAGTTGAAATATTCACATTTTTATCAGTCATGCATGAAAAGTAAGGCAAAATTACTATAAATATGTGAATGTTGACTTTTATTTTGCATTTATATACAGATTTGCCTTGCCTTAACTCACTTTCATATTTTTTTCTTTTATATGATAATAAAAAGGTTCATTTGTAAACAGTAAAATGATTGTAAACTAAAGAATGTTTTTACGCCATTTTAAGGAAATGAAATTTTTATTACTGTTTTGTTCAATAATAACATTGTTTGAAAGGCAAGATATACATAAAGCCCAGTTAAGACCCAGTTTGAGTCTTTTTATTATCATCAATCCTTTTTTTCACATGCCTTAATTTGTGTACTCTTAATATCAGGATGAGCTAATGGCAGAACTGGAAGAGCTGGAGCAGGAGGATTTGGATGCTCAGTTATTAGAAGTTGGTGGTCCAGTCACAGACCAGTTACCTTCAGTTCCTGTAACAGAACCTGTGGCCAAAACCAAAGGTAAGGTGTAGTCCATGAGCATGTCCAGGATTTTTTTTTAGGGGGGGGGGGGTGATCTTTTACCTTTAGTTCCTGTAACAGCACCTGTGGTCAAGAGCAAAGGTAAGGTGTAGTCCATTGGCAAATCCAGGATTTTGCTGTGGGGGTGCAGAATTTTCTTGCTTGCATAAAACATTTAGATGCAGTTATATGTAGGGCACTGGGTAGGGAAAATTATTTGGGTTTTATCTTGGGGGGCCCAAGCAGTCATTTGGAGGGCTACTGGCATCAAAAGATGACATCTGTTGTCGAAGACTGTTTGTCGGCTTATGAATTTGGGGGAGTGACGGAATTTTTGTAGTTGGACTCCCCATAAATCAGTGACCAAATTACAGATCAACATTTTTGGACTCCCCATACCCTGCTTGTATATCTCATGAAAACTTGAATATTCACCACATTGAGAGGATTTTAATATTTGCCTTAAAACAGTGACAGTGTTGTAGTGAAGCATTCTTTTGACTTACAATCTTTCTTTGAGTTGAATGTTTTAGCAAGTATGTCCAAAGCAAATGTAAAGATAGATGAAGTCCAGTATTTGGAGCAAACAGTCTATACTGTTTTGTGCATATGTGATGCATTTGTTATGTTATCATATGATACAGAATTGCTATGATCAACTTTTCTCCTCTTTTCTCTTCAGGCAAAGCCCAGGCAGATGCAGATGATGATCTAGCAGAGCTAGAAATGTGGGCATCGTAAGACTTCACTGGCGCCCTCTTTTATTCAGGACTTTACATACAAATTCTTGTCTTTAAAAGGAAAGGACCTTCTCCACATTTTTATTTATTTATTTATTTATTTATTTTGATGGCTATAAGATGACCTAAAGCTGAGTGCTTATAGGTTAAAAAAATAGAAATATTCAAGTCTACATTTGAAGAAACCAGTAAGTGATTGCCCTCTCCTGCTCCACATTTTCTCTATAATTCTTTAAACATGCTCTTGTTATAATGTGATGTGGGATGTTGTATGGATTACATGAGGGGATTGCAAATAAGTGTCTGCTTCCTAAACATCTTTCCCTGTTAATACTAATGAAAACTCTGCAAAGTATTGCAACGGTTTAATGTTGTCACATTGTATTGGGAAGACTGTTCGAATGAATGTGATTTTCTGTTCAGAATTCATAACCCATAGAAAAAATTTTAAGAATAGTCTTATTTTATCATAAAAGAAAAAAAAAACAAAGCATTTGAGGTAACCTAAGTGCAGAGGAAAACTGTTATTTATTCCATCATTATGTTAGACCCAGTTTCATGGTGTTACAGTTTGAAAAAAAAATTAAAATTTAATTTATAATAATTCTGATGATTATAATACTAGGTGGTAAGAAGTGATGAGAAATGATTCCACGTAAAATACTTACTGAATTTTTGTCAGATTCCACCAAAGATATGTACATGGTTTTATAATATTTTAACCTTAGTGCAGTTAGGTATGGGAAATTGATTGGTATTCTGAATTGATAATGCAAGGATTTAGCATACTTTTAGGTGAAAAGATGTCATTCATGACTACCAAGTAAAGTCTGCAATTGTTCAAAGTGACAGTAAAAAAAAGTAAGAGCATAAACAGGAAAATTCATATTCTGTTTAGTATGTTTCAAGGTTTGCAGGGTTCTGAAAATAATAATCAAAACACGCATTTGCAAAGCTTCATGATCACACGTTCTTTGCGATACAACTACGTCGCTTTAAATTTCCTCGTTCACCATAGGTGTCGCCTATATATTATGAGTTTGTTACCTTTGTCAGTGAAAGAGATAGCGTTAGTTTGTAAATTAGATAACCCAAAAAGTTTTTGGCGAACATTTATGACAATTTATGGATGGAGATTTGTTTGGAAGGGTAGGAAGTAATTGCAATTTCAATCATAATATTTCATTTTAGTATTTTTTACGTTTTCCTTGGCGGAGGTCTGCGCTCTGTAAGTGTTCTCAAATTATTTTGGATCATAGATTGCATTAAAAAATACTGTGATGGTAACTTCCATAACAAGACGAATACATTGTAAAACATGCAGAAGTTCTGAAGGTTAGAATATAATATGGTTTAAGTATTGAGACATTTTTGAGAATAGAATATTTATACGAGCCCATTTTATGTAGAGTTCTTTCCCGACATCTATGTTAGCTAAGAAATAATTAGAGTGCCTACATTTAAGCAAGTGTTATCTAAATGAACGGTTATTTATATGTACAAAATACCTGAATTGTTTTCAGCAGAAGCTATTTTTTGTTCATTGTGGTTATATGGAATGTCATAGTTATTATCAGAAACCGTGATATACTCTAGTTTTATAAATATAAACCATTTAACAAAATGATTTCCTTTGTAAATACAGTTCTTTACAATGCCAAAAATAAATATACTAAATTGATTTCCCACCCAGGTGTTGTTTATCTATATTTGTTAATGGACCAACTGTAAAATGCATGTGGTTTTATAAAATTCTTCAAATTTACTCGGATTTTTTGTTTTGGTTTTAAAACCACAAAAGTCGTATGAATTCATGTAGTACCAAAAAAGTTTTTCACAATAAAAACGATTATGACAATTAATAAGATTTTATCAGCATCTGAAATGTTGAATTGAAATTTTAAAACTATAAGTAAGCGTGACCATTTTCAATTTTTCCTCGACACGAGAATTAATATTTAAAAAAATTGACCGACATTATAGCGGTGAGAGAAAAGGTGTACTAAAATGGCACTACCCAGTTGTGTTAGTTGAGAAATAGTGTTGCACCTAAAGCAATTGGCCCGTCAAGTTTTTGCTTTATCCACCAACGCACTTTGAACGAAATTGAACGTCTCTAAAATCAATTCGTTAAAATTTTTGTTAATTTTGTGATAGCCTGATATGCATCAAGCATATGGTAGTAAAACTATGAATGGTACCCAGAAGTTTTTTTCACAATTTAAAAATCTGACCTGTGTGAACATCATTTGTCGATCAAATTGGGACCTTCAGTAATTATTATTATTATTATTATTATTATTATTATTATTATTATTATTATTATTATTATTATTATTATTATATCCTTTTTTCTATTAGCGAGGTACTGAAAACAATCTTTATGTGTGCTACCCCTGCTTGAAAGATTTTTTAAACCTTGCCTGCCGTTTCTGCTGCTTTTTTTAAATTTTTCCTGCGGTTACGCTGTTCAGTTTAAACATATACTTATTATTCTATCGAACAGGATGATCTCTCAAAACGTAATTAGATTATTTCTAAGACGAGCATTCAAAGTGTAGGCCTCCACCTGGGTTTATATGGAGTCCTTCACAGTAAGTTGGTATGTAACCCAGGCGTCTATCGCTACAAGGAGATTCGAGTTACTCCCATACATAAATACATCATAGTGACCTTTCGAGGTAAAAAAAACCCTTCTATTGGTCTGTGATAGGCTTATATTCATCGTAGAGTGATCATATACTTATCAGTTCCCTCTAGATTAAGATCCTTACTCTGTGGTGTTTGGTATCTCTGTAATACTGTCATAATGTTGATATAGAAAACATCGGGTAGGATTCGCCGTGTATATTTTCAACCGCGTAAACAGTTCGAATATGGGATTAAATAATAAAATAACGCAATGTATTTTATCATCGGATACAGAGCTGATTGCTAGATATCCTAGACATACTTTCTCCTCTACGCAGCTCACCTACCATCTGCTGGCATATTCCCTCTACTGCTGATATTTTTATTCCCACCTCCTCTCCAAATTCTCTCTCTCTCTCCACTTCAACCCACAAATCCGGGCAGAAGATCATTAGTTGTCAGAAGTGATCAACTAATCTCGTTATTGCTATTTTTCTTTATTTCTTTAAAGTTTCGAAGCAAACACCTACCCCTTTCAACTGTCAGGCGAGAAGAATTTTCAATTAGCTGACTGTGGAATGAGAACTACTGCTCCCTAAACGATTTGATGTTTATGCAATTTGTTCCAGCATTCGAGGATTCCAGTTCTCCCACCTCATACACCTGTTCTGTCGATGAAAAAAATGTAATGCTAATCGTCTGTTCACAAATAACGACGAGAGAAACTCAGTTACTCGTGTTTTTTTTCTTTTTTTTCCTCGCGTGAACTTTATTTTGTGATTTGTTTTTCTCGTCTGAAAAACCATGCGCATAGACTGTACGACCATGCATGCGCTTCAAAAAAATGTATGCTGATTAAGGCGGTATTTTGACCTTATATTTTCACGAATAAGCATAATTTCTGTTCTTACTGTTCCGTTTAGTTCCTTCCTATTCCATTTGTGTATATTGAGTATACTACAAGTAATGTATTGGCCTTGTTGCTAAAACTAATAATTCCAGCAAATGGCAGCAATGCATCCATTATATCTTCATAATCAATTTAGTCCTGCATCATTTTTTCCATATTTTTTTCGCGTCCTTACTACTATGCTGAAATCTAGCGTCCTCCCCGTCCTTTCTTTTAGCTTGTGGTTAATTTGGCCTATGGTCTTCATGTGAAACATCAGTTGGGTGTAACAACAAGTTTGTTTTCCTTTCATTTTGGAGTTGTTTGCGGCATTTTCGAGTCGAGGCCTCGCCTGTTTCTTCAACGGTGAAAAAATGCGACATTGAGGGTTCTTTTTCGATTGCTTTATTGTTTTGTGTTTTATATGTTATCTAACTTTATTTTATCTGTTTTGAAGCAGGAAAGTGATCACGCTTCGTAAAGTCGACTTTGAAAAAAGGCAGATCCTGCAGTGATCTGATCTGGGCAAAAGAAGTTTTAACTTGACTTTTGTCTATTGGTTATTCTGGGTTTCATTGTAAAACAGGTCTGTATCATACGTCAAATCTGTACATATGTCTTTTGACGACAAGTAATGATTCAAAGCGTGATTTAGGTCGATAATGAAGATGATGCCTCTATCTCGCCCCCCCTCCCCCCTTTAAGAAACACTTGGTTACCAAGCTCTTGCTATTGAAATCCTTATTAGAGACTCGGTAATTTTCCGCGTTCCTCGCCTTCATACCTAAAAGATCGTTTGCACCTTACAAGAGCGTGAAAATGCCACAGGTTCTTGACAGACGAGCAGACAGGCTTGTTAACGGAATAAGCTCTTGAAAAATTCACCTGTATCTTGTGCTTTGCCCGAGTTTCCATGTTAGTCGAAAATATTGGATAAATTGTGAATCGAATCATAAAAATACGTCGCCTTTTTCAATCGCACAAAGTGTTCAAGTCCTTATTTGCCCCTGAAAAATTGGAGGTGGCTATTGATATCTACCTTATAAGAAGTCCTTGATAAAAAGAAGCACTTTGTATTTTTTTTATTTTATTTATTTATTATTATTATTATAATTTTTTTCTTTCTTTCTTTATTTATTTATTTATTTTTTTTTTGTACCCTTCTGACTTGGAATGGAAAAGGGGGAAATCATACAGGTTACCGATTTAACATTTTTTGTTATGTTTTTGTTTTTTGTTTAGAGTTAGACGAGATGTATTAATAAAGTGTTCAGTGCAGCTTGATCTACACATAGATACAGAAATTGCAAAGAATTAAAATGTCGTGTTATAATAAAGTTTTCAGTATAATTGTACTGACAGAAAGTAATATTTCCCACACCAAACAGACATACAGTGCAAATTTTCGTTGGGTCTATAGAAAAACGTTTCATTTATTGGTTATTGTCTCACCTAGCACAATTATCGGCAAACCTTGCCGCTTGGGATAAATTCAGACGCTGTGTTTTTTCTATACAATGCTCTCAAAAAGAAATAAGTAATAATCAAAGTGTTTTCTTCGAAGAGCGTTCATCACAGCGTTGTAGATGTTAATCAAGTTAGATTTTGGGTTAGTGTTAGGGTTAAAGAGCCATCTCTAATCCAACAGAATAGTCTGCTCACTGGGGATGTCTTGAAGAACAAACAACTGAAATCAAAAGAAACGTAAAAAAAGACATTAAAACAGTCAGTCTCAATTTTCCCTGCTAGCTAGCCAGGGTGGGATTGAAGACCTCCCGAGCATGCTGAGAACTGATCGAGACAGGTGCGCCGAGATACGTAATCCCGAAAACGTATGCTACTGAACGTTCTTCAACAGTCAGAAACGATCTCTTTTTTCGTGCTCTAATTTTTTTTAGAGACGCAACTCAAGAATTGCCCTGCTGCTTTTCTCTTAATTGTATTTCAGTCAACAAAAAAGATTTCTGTTTTAAGTCTGGATTCACCTAACAGATGGAGGGGTTCTTGTAAAGCAATAAAAGGCGCGGTAATAATTTGTTTCGCTCCCGGAAGTGATGAGATTTTTTAATCAACCTTTTTCAGACATTAGATTTGGCGTGGCATTTGGTTTCAGATGCTGTAAGGCGCATAAAAAGAGTCCATTAAACATGAACTGTGATAGGCCTGCATGTCAACCCAAGAACTTTTTTACTTTTTAAAATACTATTACGTTCTACATGCTTGTAGTTTCTGGAAAATCCACGCGTAATAAAGAGAGAGAGAGAGAAAGGAGAGAAAGGTTCAATATTTTTCATTTTTATCCCTTCAACTTATTTTGTTTCTTTTTACTTTATTTTATTTATCGTCATCATCATCATTATCTTCTTTTTTGTTGTCACTATTATTATTGATATGATTGCTGTTGTTGTTTTGCCAAAATGTACATAAATCGAGTGCGACTTTTGTAAAATCACTTCTGCTTTCAGCCTACAAGTAATAAGTGTTTTCACACTCATCTGCAGGTCTAGTGCCCAACCCTCCTATACCATGCCAATTATGCACAACAGAAATTTTAATTATCCTGTAAAAGAAATATATAAATCAATCGAAAACCAACAGCATCATTGTTATGGACGGTCGCTGTCGAGTGAAACCGGACTATCAAACCGAAAACAAGCTCTTGAAACACACAAGCTCACCCCACAGTGGGCAACGTATGTCAAACGTATGGTAACACGTACTTTCTGTCTAACTGACTACCTTCTTAAACCACAGTGAAGCGTGACCTGGGATGTAGCTGAGGTGATCCTTGACACTTGCCTCAATTATAGCACTTTTTGGTGTCACGGTGGACAATTTAGTTGTCCGCCGAGCGTTCGTAAATATGGCGTCTTGTCACCAACTCGTCATTATAGTGTCACGCGGAGACAATACACTGGGCCTTAAGTGACGTGTAATTTAATGACAACTTGTGCCCCGTCAACAGGAAACTTTGAGGCGTTTTTGGTGAATTAAACGAGCGGCGAAACAGGTACTTAGACCCGGTTTCACACAACAGGTGTATTATCTGCGGTTTCACTCCTCGGGGCCAGCCCTTATTTAAATATGGAGAAGCGTAAAAAAGGGACGGATATTCATTGTGAAAAGGCAGAGAGGTGTCAAGACCGCTGAAAATTTTATTTCACTGGA